TTTCATTAGTTGTCAGTTATAATCATCAACATTAAAAGAAATAAACATTTGAAATATATCAGTCTGTGTGTAATGAATGAATATAATCTACAAGTTTCACTTTTCAAATGGCATTACTGAAATAAATCAACTTTTTTCATGATATGCTAATTTTATGACCAGCACCTGTACAGATAGTAAGCTTAAATTTGATGTGGCTGTAATTGAGTGATCACCATCACATACTGTTGCACATTTTTGTTCATGTAGTAGTGACTGTGCTGTTCTCACGTAGGTATAATTGTGAAATAAGAAACCAAAGCAGGATTATTTCAAATGTGAAGTCTCCTAACTCACATTGTGTTTGTTTTTTTCAAATAGACTGTATATGACAACCACTTAATAAAACTCCTGAAATTCTCTTATAGTTTTGGGTCTTTGTGTTTTGCACCATGCAATTAATATTTAGTAAAAGACTTATTAATCAATCAGATAAATATTCAGATTAAAGTGTGTCTGTTTTAATGGTGAAAGCAGAACCAGCTCATAGGTGCATCGCTCAAAGAGCAAACACTTTGTGATCAGCTTTTCCCCAAACTTAATTGCTGGCCTTAAGCGCTAGAGGTAATTCTGCTTTGTGCTTGTTAGGTGTTTGTGTGCAACACAACCCATATGTTCTATTAATAAACTGACACCCTATTACCCCCTCCTTCCCTCCCTCTCTCTCCTCCTCTCTCTGAAATAATGAACAATAAGTGTCGCTGCTGCACCTCAGACACACACCAACATCAAGCAGAATGTCAAATGGCTGCAAGAGCGGCGCGATTGACAGCAGCCGGGCTCCACGAGGCATGCAGATGACTTAAAGCAAGTTCTGAATGTTCTTTTCAAACTTTCTCCACGTGCCAGAGGGCGATGGAGAAGAAGTGTTGATGTGATGTAAAAAGCTTAAAAGAAATCTTCGCAAACGCTCGCATTTAGAGAGCAGGAGCATCTGACTGTATCATACTGTATACAGTCTCAGTGTGAGAGAGCCCAGGTCTGGGTGGGTCCACAAAGACATGCTGGACAAACGTCCTCAAGCATCAAAGCATACTTCAGAAATAAAATGTGTTTTGTGGAACTGGTTAATAAGTCCTGAAGGTCTTTAGATTTGTTTAATGCCTACTGCCGAAAGACGAAGGCGGACATTAATACTTTTACCTGTGTGTGTGTCTGTTAGCAAAAAAAAAAATCCACAATGAAACTTTAAGAAAGTAATTATTAGAGATGCATCTACAACTGATTAACTTTTGGAGTCACCCTCATAATGGTTGCTACAGACAACTGGTCTTAAAAACACAAAAATGGTTTAACTAATATTGACCTAAATTATGGAGTGGTAGTAGCTGCTGCTGATCAGTAACAGATATCCTTTGTGTTGATAGACTGTGCAAGAGTTTTGTGTCAAATTTTGCTCTGGCTCTTTAAAGTCAACTGTCTGTTAGCAAAATATCTCATAAACCCTTTAAAGGATTCAATGAGTTTAATGACACCTGGGAAATAATCAGGGAGTGTGCATCTACAGCTGGAGTATGCTGTTCGTGGGTATCAGTTTGTTTGGTGTGCTCCTTGGATTGAGGAAGTCCTTTGGATGAAGGACGATTCGTCTCAGAAAAAAAAAAACATTCAGATGACCTGACTGAACATTGTTGGATTTATACCTGGATTACTGAGCATGAACTATGGTACAGCTGAGTAACTTCTCAACTTAATTCAAGATGGCTGCCTCAGCTAATCAACATTAGTTAGGCCTTTAAAGAATCAACATGGCTCAGTCTCATTCAACCCTGTGCATAAATAATTTTCTTTTATGATGCCAAATAGGGCAGCACGGTGGTGCAACCGGTAGAGCTGCTGACGGTTCAAATCCCAGTCCAGAGGCCTTACTGGGTGATGTTCTCTCCATGTATGTGTGGGTTTTCTCCAGGCACTCCGGTTTTCTCCCACAGACCAGAAACATGCATGTTAGGCTGACTGCTAACTCTAAATTGTCCCTGTTGTGAGTGAGAGAGTGAATGTTTGTTCGTCTTGTTTGTCTCCATGTGTCCCTGTGATGGACTTGCGACCTGTCCAGGGTGTAACTGCCCCTCGCACAGTGATTGCTGGACATGGGCACCAGCGATCCCCATGACCCAAAATGGAAGAAGTGGGTAAAAGATAATGGATGGATGTCAAATAGGTCAAAGTACCATCAGATGTTGAAGCACAGTTACTTCTTACCAGCAGATGGTACTATGATCCATAGTTA